AATATGGGATTTTCTTGGTGTGCGTAACATTTCAGAAATAGAAAGGAAACTTGAACATTTCACAAACAAAAACCGCTTATGAACTCACCAGCGTTATGCTTAATTTTTAAACCGCTTGTGTTCTCAGGTCAGCGTTAGAACAGGTACCCGAAGATCCTTTTTTTCCGAAGACGGAGTACTCAGAAGACCCGTTTCATTTTGTTCATATGTATACTCTGTATCACAACTGTACAACTTTACTTTTGAAACAATTGTAAAACTTTTCTTTATCTAATGTAATGGTTGTTTTACTTTACTTACTATGTGCATTGGATTTGATACTCAACGTGGAGTCAACCCCAGAAATGTTTCCGCCTTCTGTTTTCGGGGTGTGACATAAATAAAGATGTTTAGCAATCAAACAAAAAATATTTCTCTGTTCTAACAACCCTAAATTGTCTTATTGCAAATAAATCACATCATCCTTAGACCTAGACAATTCTATCTCTAACTTCTCATTCTGCATTTGTCTCTCTTATCTTTTGTTCGTGACCCTGCTGATTTGATCAATTAAGTTAGAATTACTTAATTGGGTTCTTTTTAGACTATCATTGATAGTTGATACTATAAATTTTAAATCATCTAGTATAGTTTCATACCGATAGACAGGAATATCAAGAGATTCGAGAATAGAATGTACCTTGCTGATTACTTTCTCACACTCACTAACCTGCTCTAAAACAGGTCTGGCTGAGAAACAGTTGTCGGAGACATGGCCACCATCAGTATCATACCCCCTTTGCTCTGAAACATCATTGCTGACCATCAAGTATTTTCCCTCAAACTAAGGGAACTCAGCCTTCGCAACGAAGCATTCACCATGCGTCGGCTTGCGAACCTCTTCATCCTCCAAATCTGTCGACCAGACATTGAGTCTTCTAAACTCGTCATCGTCTTCCTGCATAATCGTATCAGGTTTAGCATTATCTACATTATTCTTCTTTTTAAGCTCCTTTAACTTTCTGAGCTAGTAAAATTCATCATTTTCTTCATATTTCTTCTCATTCATTCTTCTTAACATGCAATCCTTAGACAGATGATTTTTTCGATGACAATAGTTGCAATCATAGCCAAAGTTTCCCATCAACTTTTTTCTCTTTCTTCACTTCATCCTTTTGAGAGTTGTTGATGCTTTCATCCTTTTTCTTTTAAGAACTGTAATTCCCCTGCCAGTTTCCATTTTTAGGGCATCCAAAATTCTTTTTGGAAAACGTTTTAGGATTGGACACCATTAAAGCATATTCCTCTTTCGAGAGTTCGCAATCTGAGATATCATAATCGAAATCTTCTTCTGTAATCTTTTTGCCCTTTACAACTAGGTCCAACGAACCCATACCAGAAAAAACCATTCCTTCGTTTGTTACCTCATCCTCGTGGGACCTAAGTATTCCCACTAGCTGCGCTAAGGAATAGTTCTTGAATTGCTCATGAGCTTTGACTATGGTGAAAACTGACTTCCACTCAGGTCTTAAACCATTCATGAACGTAACCTTTTGTTCGATCTTTTCATGCCTAATATTGTGCTTAATCATCCTTTTCAAAAGATGGTTAAAGCGATTGAAAGTCTGATAAAGCTTTTCATCAGACTTCTGAGTGAAAGCAACAAACTTAGAGAGATGTAATGTTTAAACGGAATGTTCAAGATCAGCATCACTAGAATAAAGTTCTTTCAACCTATCCCATATCTCCTTCACAGTTTCACAAGAACTCACCAGACGAAACGTGTCTGGAGGTAGAGCGAACTTGAGGGATGTCTTTAACGATGATAAGGAAAACATTATATTCTTCTTGGGTTTTGATGACTTTCCTCATTCCCATGTACATGAAAGTTCCCTCTACCATGGCTTTCCATATTGTCGTTCCATGATATTCGATACCCAAGATGTAGTATTCGAAGTATAGCGTCCATACTTCGTAATCTTATGGAAATAAAATTGGCATTTTGGTTGTGGAATCGATATTTCTGGATAGGTTAAAGGAAAGCATATGAGGATCTTCGAATTCATGTTGTTGATTCATTAAAACCTGTAAGAATCAGATGTGTTAAAACTAAAATCGACTTTAGGGTAAAATAAAGATCAAGATCCAACGTCTACAATTGATGAAAACGATGAAGACGGAAAGAGCAGATCTAATAAAAGCGGAAAATCCTAATAACACTCGACAGAAGAATTGTGTATGGTTTACACAATCTCCTGTTCGGATACCAATTTATGAGATAATAAAATAAGAATGATAGATTCAAGAATAGGAATAGGAATCAAATACAAAGTACGATGATCGAAGTAGTGCTTAATGATTAAAATCAATGCCTTAGAAGAGCTCGATGAAGAGCTTGTCTGTAATGGCACAATACAACAATAATACAATCAATAATAATTATGGTGTATACATGCACTATAAATAGTCTAACCCAGGAACCATTAAACACCGGGTGGACATGCCCAACCCGTTACAAAATGGACTATTCTATACAACACAACAATTGAAACAATCAAAAAATAACCCATCTTTCAAGTGAATGATATCTTGTTAAATCAACAACAACTACTACACACTTTATTGTTTTTAACGAAAACATAGATTGAAAATATTGCACAAGTAGATATGGTAAAATATGTACGTGATCTGTGCGAGAAGATGGTTCTACTTGTGAAACTTTATGAAGATAGGTGTACCCGCAACCAAGTTACATGATTGGTCACGAGTGTTGTATTTTATATCTATTAACACACACACACACACACACACACACACACATATATATATATATATATATATATATATATATATACACACACACACACACACACATATACTAGCCGATTAGCTGCCCTAAGCGACGAGTGCGAATAATTGCAATTACAAATTAGTTTTTAGAAGCGATTAGTTATTTTGCAGAAATAGTTTACTACATGGGAACAATTATCAATAATTAAAAATAAAAAGTTGAGATTTTTTCACAAATATACATGAACACATGATTGATTGTGCATTTTTTTTATAACGACAATTGTGCATTATTAACCATGCAACACTTCTTTATATACCGCATTTTATGTGTAGACTTCATTGCCATTGGACTTTACATCAGAATTCACTAATATTTGTGTATTATATGTGATATCCCTCTGGATAATTTCAAACAAGGTTGATCGTGCGAGAAAAAACGATTCTGAAAGATAAATACCTAAAATAAAATACATGTTTGATCTCGTTTTATTAGAACCAATGAACCATAGAAAATTATAAGTTGCATTATGAGATGTGGTTTGATGCCTTTTGAACACACTTAAAATAAAATACATGTTTGATCTCGTTTTATTAGAACCAATGAACCATAATTATGTTATTCAAAAAATGTCCCCAAGGACAATTATATAAGCTCAAACATTCGTTAAAAATTCATACAAATACATTTTGACTTAATGTACGTCGAAAGTTTAAGATCAAAAAATTCACCAGTCAAATACTATAAGCTCAAACGTTTAATAAGTGGTTCACAATTAAATATAGGTATCCAATGACAGTTTTTTGTATCAAATCGAGTAATAAATTTGTTTAATCATTTCGAGTAACACAATCAACATAGAAAACTAATAACTTTTTTTTAATTACCAATCAAAAATTGATGTCCCGTTAACTTCAAATTTAATACACACTAGTTGTGTGACCCGTATGTTATACGGGTTGGATAAAACAAAAAAAATTAAATATGAAGGTTTAAACAAAAATTTATATAAATTTGAAATTTGAAATTTAAAATTTAAAATTTGAATTTAAAAGGAAACATATTTAATAGTATATGAGTTGTAATATTATAATTTAATGGTTAATTTTAAATAAGACAATTATTAATTGAGGTGTAAATATGATGTGTTAATTAAAAAAGATAAATAATGAAAAAATGACACATGGAAAAAACATTTATTCAAAAATACAAAAAAATGACATGTGTCCAAGTTAATGAGAGAGTGACATGTGGTAAAACTATTTTCATTTATTAGGGAGGATATAAACTTCAGCCATCCATACGACATCATAATTAATTTCAATTTAATAATTTTTTTTAACATTTTATATTATTTAAAATGTTTATTAATTGAATTTACAACATATTCAAACAACATAAAAAACATTTTTGCTTCCAGGCCTGCTTGTAAATGTCATATAATACCTAGATTAATGAATTAAACTTGTTATTACATACATTTACATTTAGTCATACGTTAAAATAAGTAAAAAATTGAAATTTTATTTAAATATACTTACAATGAATATAAATATATAAATACGCATAAAATCAAAAAAATTATAACAACTATCATTGAATCCTAATCCAATTACAGCGAACAAAAAAAGGAACAAATTAGTTTCCCTTACTCCAATTTCCTATTCATTTCCATTCCTAAAAAAGCATTACACAAAACAATTTCGCAGGTCATTTGAAGCTTTGGACATGGTAAAAAACAAAAGATAACCTTAATATTCATCAAATCATGGATGTTAAAATCGCGATCCTGATCGTACGATCCTAAGTATGAAAAACGATCTGGATCGTATTTGGGGTAGGATCGTAGGATCAAAATCCGACACGATCCTACCTTCTCTTGATTTTTTTTTTTTTGCAAATGAATTTTTTGTACCACTTTATTTCTTTTACTCTTTACCAATTTAACATTTATCATTTGTGTTGTGATTTATAACTAATATAATTGAGTGTTCGAAATATTTTTCACGATTAAAATTATAAATTAAAATTAAAATTTATTATGGGATCTTTGGATCCCGATTTTAGAAACCCAAAAAAGATCCTACGTAAGATCCCGATCTTGACAACATTGCATCAAATTCTTAGCATATATCTAAAATTTGGAACCGAGAATCACGAACCCTGTTTAGTCATAACCACTAACAACCAGTTAATGCACCTTGCCGATATAATTGCTTCTAATATGTGCTTATATATTAAACAACCATCTTATGGATACATAGTGGTTCCACGTGAGGACGCTTTTAATTGCTTCCTTCCAACCTGGACTCAAGCCAAATAAGTTCAAATAATAATAATAATAATAATAAGTTTATCCTACAACCACAATATATCCAATCCAGTCAACCTTTATAAATAAAATAAAATATAACTCCGGTTACTCACTACAGAATAATGAGAAGATATAGGAAAATTAAAAATTGAAACACTAAATAGACCCATTTACATTTTGGTTGAAGAGCATACCATTATCCAAATGTCCATAAGCCAATCTGGAAGACTTGGTAGTGCTTCTCAGACAACAGTTTCTTTTTGTATTGAATGCAAGTTTCAGTTTCTCGATATGTTCCCCACACTATGACACAATCAAATACACACATAGCAAAACCCAAATTGTGGATTTGTAACAACTTTTAATTAAAGTCCAAACATATGTAGATGAGGACAAATGCCAGTATAATTAGGTTATCTTCTTTGTGACTCGATTCTTTATTTGACCATTATTTCAATAGTTTGATTTTATAATGCTTATACTAAATCAAAACAAGGTTAATTTTAGTTATGACACTCTTCGTCAGCTTGGAAGGCTCATTAACTTTCTTTTCAGTTTCAACTTGGAAGGTTCTTGGGTTTGTGGATTTCAAATTGAGGTAGCTCCCTCCCCACCCCTACAATTAGAAAAGCACGATTTCAGTAAGCCCTAATTGATAAATTTAAATACTAATGTTAAAGACATAATCAAGATCATAATGATTTCTTACGCGAGGATTTAAAAGCAAAAGAATAAGAACAGGTTGCCATTTTAATAGTTTTGTTGTATAAGGGAAGATGAAAGTTGATGCTTACCACCATGAAATTGAGATATGGTTGGATGCTGAAGGATAAAATATTAAAATTATAAAGATCTACTCTCCCAAACATGTAAGCCCCCTTGTCATACCTAGCCCATGACAAACAAATATAACCCAACAAAATCATAGATTGAAGCAACTAAATTTTTTTAACTTATTTCTTTATGCATATGGATAGATGAGAATGAGTCAAAAGCATAGCCTAATTACATAGGTCTCTCCATCTCCTATGAAAGTATAATAGAACATAAACTTAGTGATTATCAAATTAGGGTTTACGCACGTTTTTCCTTGAGACTCCAACATAATATGGAAGTGGTTTCATAAAAATCTTTGTCTTCTTCAAAGTTGTTCGTCCTCTGGTTCTATAGAAGCTTATGTAAAAAAAATCAATTTATTGGGGTGTAGAGAAATAATCAAGAAAGAATGAAAAACATTAAAAACAAACAAACAAAAAACTAACCCATTCTTACCCTTGTAGTGAAGAATAGAATTGCCAATGCTAATACATAATGATCTAAACAATTGGTCATACTAACCTCTTCCTTAAAAAAAAAAAAAAAGAATATAATAATGAAAAGAACAAACCTCCTTAATTTGAAGAAAACCTTTGACTCGTTCTTGATAATCTAGTGAGTTATCAGGATCAATCACTTTTAACACAAGAAACATTATAGCGGCAACCATTACAGATGGAAGATAAACCAGAGACCTTGAATCTGCATTTCATGTTTATATCAAATACTTGATTTGAATTAAATCAAAATCAAAATAATTCTTTGATTCAAAGCTCCAACTCATTATCTTAAAGAAAACAAATAGGCGAATGCGAGATGAATCATAAAAGATTGGTAGAGATGATGTGAGAATTAGGTCAAAAAGAAAAAAGAATGGAAAAACTTACTAGGTAAATGTCGACAACGACCGAGGTGTTGCCGAACCTGTACAACGTCATTCTAGAAGGTTCCATGGCAATCTCATCAAGCCCTAGAGTTTCCTGTAACGGAAGGATTCGCTTATCGAGCGTAGTTACGTTCGATCTGATGACAGTGGATGCGATTTTGAAAAGGTCTTCAGTAATGGTGACGCCTCTTATCCCGACTTCGTCTTCTACCTGAAAGATGCAGTTGTACAAAAGGTCGGAATATGATATGTTGGTGTGTACGGTGTGGAGGAGTTTGTATTTGCAATTGTGATGATCAGAGGGACGGTTTGAGAGGAGGATCGTCGCGCCACCAACGTGGAAGACGGCATAACATGAAGTTTCTCGATGAACACAACTAATTTAGGGTTTTTGTGAGCAATTATAATATTGCAATGAGAAACTGTATAGGATAATAACTTGTATGAGGTAGTAGGTGTTATACCTCTTAATTTTCAATATATATATATATATATATATATATATATATATATATATATATATATATATATATATATATATATATATATATATATATATATATATATATATATATATATATATATATATATATATATATATATCTTTAAAATGAAAAACAATGTAGCCATATTCTTAGTTTGTTACTATAATATGTTTAAGATAAAAAAACAACATAATAAATGTTTTGGAAATTTTATATATGATAAATACCCCACCGATAAGTTTTTATACAAACTTGAAGGTATTTTTTCATTTTCTTATTATAATGTTGTTTCATCAGTTCGATAATGTCATATAATGCTAATTTATATAGAAATTATGGTTTTGTGGAGAATGAGAAACTAAACATGTAGGATTGTTCTAAATGATCATTTTTGTCAATAATGATTTCAAAATGAAGTTAAGATGGAAAACCAAATCGTCGAACTGAAATATTTGGTTATAAAGACTAAAACTATCAATATTGATAAAAAGATTGATCAAATAACAAGAAATTATGTTTTTGAAGAAAGAAACAATATTTTTTACATTTTGAAATTTTGTTAACATATTTATAAACATAAAAGGAGATAGATGGTCAAATTGATAATTTTTGGCAAAATAATAAATACTGTCAAAATTGACCAAAATGGAAAAATGACAAATAATTATGTCTTTGGAGAGTACAATGTGACAATCCGAAATTTCTATCTTGTACAAACCCTACATCTCAATCAAAGTCCAACTTGCTTCTGCTAACTTTTAGCACTGTATAGAATGTGCTGGAACTTACTGAGCTTAGTGCATCAAAGGATCAAATACTAGAATGGGTCAACTAGAGTTATAAACCACCAAACATGCTTTAAACCCTCAAACGAGGAGTTTACGGCCATGAGACCATGGGTTTACAGCCGTAAACTCATGGTGGCCATAAACTCCATGCCTATATGTGAAATACTTGGCCATTTTCATTCATTATCACACTTTCAAGCCTAGAACTTGATTTTTCTCCGCAGTATCATCCCCCTTATATATGGGTTGGAGTTGGAGCTCAGTGGGAATCTACCCGATACTGTCGTTAAACGGGGTTTTTGGTCGCATCCGATTTAGTGGTCGTAATAAAATTTAACTTTTTCCAATTACTATGGAAATGTAATTTACATACTTTTTCTTTATTTTACTACGACGAATAACGACATAGAATATAAATAAATAAAACATTTATTTATTTTACGACCTCAAAATTAACAGAACTTTTATAACGTGGAATATTCCATTAACTGTAATAGGGTAATGTAACGGAATAAACTTGGGTTGTCACACTAGATGATAAGGCAATTTAGCTACTGGAGTAGCCCTTGGAACTAAGTTGATTATAAACTCGACCTTGATGTTGCGGAAGTAATCCCGGTAGTTGCTCTTGAAAGGTGTCAGGAAAAACTACGTATTTCTGGAATGTTCCAAATGTTTTTCACTTCTTGGCTTGTTACGTATATGTGTGAAAGGAATGCGGGATATTCCCTTCGTAAGAACTTCTGTTCCCTCTGCATCTCTTGTCCCGATTGGTGGGAAGGTCTAACATTGGCTTCTAAGTTTATTTGCATGGCAACACGATCACTCGTAGTCTTGAGCAATCTCCGTCGTGAAATTCATATTAGAACTCATGCATGGTTCATCAATCAAAGCCTCGCGTATACGATTCGTATATAATTAAGATTGAAAAGGTAGTCGAATAAATGATTCTTCTCTAGGCTCACATCCAAACAAGGAAAAGATGTTAATGCGGAATCATCAATTCTAAGCCTGCAGAACCTTGATTATGTACCACCCTTGTGTATACATTCCTTCGTGATAGATTAACCGTATGGGCCTTCAGATTGAACTTGACGTACTGTATGAGTGGTATTCCGGAGAGGTTTGCTGAGGGTACTTTGGGAAAGTTATGAAGCATAAGGCAATCTACGCATGAGTGCTTCGGAGTTCTGGAACTGCGGTTTTCATAAAAAGTCGATTACGAGGAAAAGAATGTTCGCACGAAATTGGTACCATGAGGATTGAATTCACTCAAGTTACTTGATGATGTTGGAGTACTCGGAATAAGAGGCGTTAGTGTAACGACCCAATTTTTACGTCCGAAAATTTCATTTTTAAGGTATTACTTTAGAAAACATTAATAAATAAAAACATTGTTTGTTCACACCATAACACATCGCGACCATGTTCTAAAAAGTCAAACCATACATCCCATCAAAATATCAGAGTACAATCCCAGTAAATCTCATAAATGCGGAAACCGAAGAGTGTGTGTATGACGTGCCGCTACCGCGCCGGCTCCTTCCCCTTCGGTGTAGAGGTACCTGAAAACAAAACTGTAAACGTAAGCACAAAGCTTAGTGAGTTCCCCCAACGTACCACATACCATACAAACACATAACATACGTACTGCCAGGCTATTCTAGGGTGCCTGACTACCCGGTACGGCCATTCTGGGGTGCCGACCTACCCATACGGCCATTCTGGGGTGTCGTCTTACCCGTGTCAAGCCATTCTGGGGTGCTGACTACCCATGTCAAGCCATTCTGGGGTGCTGACTACCCATGTCAAGCCATTCTGGGGTGCTGACTACCCATCGGTCCTAACAACCGATCCTCGGGGACTGGTCCCCTCCCGCTACCTCTATCGCATAACATAATAGATCAACATACAAGCATACCATCACATACAGTCAGATAATTCTGGGGTGTCTGACTACCCAGCGGTCCTAATAACCGAACTCTACTACTATTGCATATAACATATCATGATAGCATGTAACATAACAGGTAATAGCAACCTAGATGATATCACAAAGACAATCATCTATCATACATCTCCTACTGGTGGGCCGGCAGTGTGGCCTTAGACCCACCACTACTGGAAGGTAACTCACCTCAAAGTAGCTGCTGAACTGATCGGGAACTAACTGACTGCTGCTGCTCCGGGAGTCCTCCGGCTGCAATTCCCACAACATACTCAATCAAACACTGCTAATCTGCCTTTAGGTAAAATGACCATTTTACCCCTGGTCTAGCTCTAAGCCAATGCTAGAGTCAACTTTCAGTTGACCCGACTCGCCGAGTGGATCATCACTCGCCGAGTCCCTAGCAAACCATTGTCCTGGGTCCCTGGTTCTACTCGTCGAGTCGGGCTATGACTCGACGAGTTCACCTTCTAACTGTCATTCAAATCCTTCATCCTACTCGCCGAGTTGTATGAACAACTCGTCGAGTTCATCTTCATCCGAAGAACACTTTATGCTAAGACTCGCCGAGTTGTATGAACAACTTGCCGAGTCTGTTCTTGATCTATGAAGATTGCCTTGGACTCGCCGAGTCAGGGCATTGACTCGCCGAGTCCTAACATGGGTGAGTTCAGCTCCCAACTCACCGAGTCACCCCCTGTGACTCACGGCTCGACTCGACACATCATAAAGGGACCAAATCGGTGACTCGCGATCAGACTCGCCGAGTCACCTATACGACTCGCCGAGTCGTCGCCATGCATCCACCAAATACACAGATTTACTCGATTTCAGTCCATGCCATTCATAGATCTGGGCTTCTAGGACACAAATCACACGTAAAGTTTCCAACTTTACGTGTGGATATTCACTAATGTGGATTTTAGGGTGCAAAATGCCTCAAAAGGGTAGATCTAGGATGAACAAGCCACATGGGGCCATAAAGCTAACAGATCTGAGCTCCTGGAGCTTAATCTTGCCTAGATCTAAAGGTTAATCCACTTATTACGAGACATTAAGCACAAACAAGCTTGAAGAATTGCTCAAGGGTGTCCCAAATGAAATCCTAAGCATAGAAACAGGGGAAAAACGAGATATACCTCAAGGAAAATGTTGAAATGACACAAAGATGGCTGATCTCCTTCTCTTCTTCTTGATCTACTCCTCTTTCTCCTCAAAACCTTCAAGAATACACCAAGAACACTTCAATCTCTCAAGGAAACAAGGGAAAACGATGTTGGGGGAGTTCTGGGGGTGAATGGGGACGAGTTGGGGCGGAATGAGGGTTTAAATAGGGTGCAAACCCTTGAAACTTAGGGTTTCATCCAGCAGCGGTGACTCGCCGAGTCCAGGATATGGACTCGCCGAGTCGCCCACTTAAACGTGTCCTGAGTCTCGTCCCTACTCGGCGAGTCGGACCTTATGACTCGCCGAGTCCAAGGCTAAATTAGGGCAATGCTCAAATAAAATTCACATACCGGAAACCAGGTGCTACAGTTAGACTAGTTCATAAACGTGTTACCAACACAATACAACGGTGCAACTTTTAACAGAGTTTCAGTACTTTAGTTTAACTACAAGACTACTGCTGAGAACATGATATACTACAAAAAGCAAGTATATGCAACACGAGAGTCCCTTAACTGACGGGATCTCACAAAAGATAAGGCTCGAGTTGAACTAGTTTTAATAGTTTATAAGTCTACTATATTGAAATTCCTTAGTATTTTAACGTGGGTCTGGAGTAGTCTCTCCTGCGGCGGTGACCCTTAGTATTTTTCTGTCTGCGCCAGAGTTCTTCGTTATCGGACAATCCTTCTTGAGATGTCCTATCTCACCACATAGGTGACAAATCTGGCTTGCACCAGCATCGGTGGTGGAAGTGATGTGTAGAGTCATGTGGATATAAGCTCCTTTTTTGTTCTCCCTTTTTGGACAATCTCTATAATAGTGTCCGGTGTCGGCACAACTATAGCATGCATGGATGGCTCTGATGCCAGCGATTTGGGAGGTGGTTCGTGTTGGTGTTTTATGGACACGAGCAGTGTGCCCCATGTTTTTGCAATTGCTACATTGAAATTCACGGCAAGCTCCGTTATGATGATAGTTACACTTGTTACACATCGGGAGTGTTTCTTCGTATCGTTTGATCGGTGTTGAAGTGGCAAGGGTCACCACTTGTTGTTGTTGCAGTGTAACACCCCGATTATTTTATAATAAATAAACAAGGTTAAATAAACCAAACAAATAAATGAACCCCGAGAAGAGAAATATATTTTATATTATTTTGTTCAAGCCCTCAATCCATAGTAATTAATGGATGTTAGTTATGGGAGTTAATTGTAGTAAATTTTAGAATGTTGGGGGTTTAGTGTAAAAATTGGATTCGGTTTGTAAAGATATGTGAAGGCATGGTAAAAAGTGTAAAATATGGACTAAGTTTGAAAATACATCTGGAAGTGAGGGGCCGTTTGTGTCACTATGTAGTGTAGTTTATGAGAACCGGGTATTTAAACTCTAAGTTCCGTGCAACCCTAACCCTAACGTCATTCCTTCAGCTAACATGCGAGACTTCCCATCTGCCACCTATTTCTCTGTCCGTTTTCCGATCATACGATTCCGGTGCCACCACCCTTATTCCTCCTTATAGTCGCTACCTCTGTAAGACCATGGCAACCACCGGGACCGATCGAACGAAGTAGCAGTGATTAGAGCTGGGAGAAACTGTTGTCGCTGTGGAACCGCAAACCACCAGAATCGTCGCTCCTTCGCCGCCGATAGATGCTGCTGCTACCTGTCATTTGTTGTCGGGTGTTCAGCTAGCTGTCGACGCCCGACTCCCTCTCGTTCTCCTATATGTTGAAGCTCCGAGCGACTGCCGACGACGAAGTAAAAGAACATGATCTGTCACTGCTACCATTTTCCTGATGGGTTTGCGACCTCCCTCGTCTTCCCCATTTATTTTGTACGTGTTTCAGGATGTGTATGCGTCCGTATGACAGCAGCCATCGTGTGTTGTTCGCTGGAGAGTATAGGAGCCACCATGGCAGCCAATCATGGTGGTTGTCGACGTTCAAGCTTCTGCTCCCGCCGTCGTGCGCCACCAAGGAGTGAATGAGTTCGTTTTACAACAGAAAGCGTAGGTGTGTGTGTCTTTTGTAGTTTTGTGGTTTTGGGTTTCGTTTATTCAGGATTTTCAAAGAACAGCTACTTCCACCACCATGAGGTGGTGGCTACCGCCAAGCACTGCCGCCGGCCACCATGGTGTGGCTGTGTGTGTGTGTGTTAGTTAGTGTGTGTTTATGTGGATTAAACATTGTAATTGTAATTAGCTTTGGTTAATAATAAAAATAATAATGACCACCACCGTAAGGTGGTGGCCGCCACCGTGAGCCGCCATCGACCACCACTACCCGAGGTGGTAGTGGGTGGTGCCCTGCTAGCAAACCCTAATGGGCTTAGAGATTGGTTTTGGGCCTATTAGGCCATGTTTGGGTGGAAAACCCTAATTATGAGTATTGGGCCTTAAACTTATTGGGCCCACTTGTGGGCCATTGCGATTGGATTGTGAATTAAGCCCAAATTATTCCATGCCACTTATCAAGTAGAGTAAAGGAATTAATGGATAAATTCCTTACTGGGCTAATTGAGAAAATTTGAATATTTGAGAATTTATTAGGACACACACGAGTATTATTGTCACACCCCAAAACCAAGGACAGCGGAAACGTTCCGGGGTGGAGGACGTCATGTACAGTATCACAACAGTGTAAAATAGTAAACAAGCAACAACATCATCCATTGCATTATAAGTAAAGTTTTAATACATGTGTGTTCTTTCATTGTAATAAGACACCAAAAATATGTATATAATCAAAATAAAAGACGAGACTTATCTGCTCCATCATCTCAAAACCTGGCCACCGTACCTATCTACTGATGACCTGAGAATACAAGTTATTTTGAAAGAGAGTATCAGCTTTAAAGCTGGTGAATTAATAAGTATTTAAGTGTCGTTGCCTTGCTTTGAAAAGCTGTTATGAATGTCATGTAAAAACCTTTAAGTAAGACAGTTGATATAAGTATGAAAAACCCTAAGAAATCCCTTATTTCGTACTAGTATGAAATGTAGTCTTCTACCAAGACCCGAATGTTTTGTTATGATAATGTAG